GAACATAGCAATAAACTCACCATATCAGTGGAAGAACAGACACCAGGATGTGACATACCTAATTGAACATAGCAATAAACTCACCATATCAGTGGAAGAACAGACACCAGGATGTGACATACCTAATTGAACATAGCAATAAACTCACCATATCAGTGGAAGAACAGACACCAGGATGTGACATACCTAATTGAACATAGCAATAAACTCACCATATCAGTGGAAGAACAGACACCAGGATGTGACATACCTAATTGAACATAGCAATAAACTCACCATATCAGTGGAAGAACAGACACCAGGATGTGACATACCTAACTGAACATAGCAATAAACTCACCATATCAGTGGAAGAACAGACACCAGGATGTGACATACCTAATTGAACATAGCAATAAACTCACCATATCAGTGGAAGAACAGACACCAGGATGTGACATACCTAATTGAACATAGCAATAAACTCACCATATCAGTGGAAGAACAGACACCAGGATGTGACATACCTAATTGAACATAGCAATAAACTCACCATATCAGTGGAAGAACAGACACCAGGATGTGACATACCTAATTGAACATAGCAATAAACTCACCATATCAGTGGAAGAACAGACACCAGGATGTGACATACCTAATTGAACATAGCAATAAACTCACCATATCAGTGGAAGAACAGACACCAGGATGTGACATACCTAATTGAACATAGCAATAAACTCACCATATCAGTGGAAGAACAGACACCAGGATGTGACATACCTAATTGAACATAGCAATAAACTCACCATATCAGTGGAAGAACAGACACCAGGATGTGACATACCTAATTGAACATAGCAATAAACTCACCATATCAGTGGAAGAACAGACACCAGGATGTGACATACCTAATTGAACATAGCAATAAACTCACCATATCAGTGGAAGAACAGACACCAGGATGTGACATACCTAATTGAACATAGCAATAAACTCACCATATCAGTGGAAGAACAGACACCAGGATGTGACATACCTAATTGAACATAGCAATAAACTCACCATATCAGTGGAAGAACAGACACCAGGATGTGACATACCTAATTGAACATAGCAATAAACTCACCATATCAGTGGAAGAACAGACACCAGGATGTGACATACCTAATTGAACATAGCAATAAACTCACCATATCAGTGGAAGAACAGACACCAGGATGTGACATACCTAATTGAACATAGCAATAAACTCACCATATCAGTGGAAGAACAGACACCAGGATGTGACATACCTAATTGAACATAGCAATAAACTCACCATATCAGTGGAAGAACAGACACCAGGATGTGACATACCCAATTGAACATAGCAATAAACTCACCACCATATCAGTGGAAGAACAGACACCAGGATGTGACATACCTAATTGAACATAGCAATAAACTCACCATATCAGTGGAAGAACAGACACCAGGATGTGACATACCTAATTGAACATAGCAATAAACTCACCATATCAGTGGAAGAACAGACACCAGGATGTGACATACCTAATTGAACATAGCAATAAACTCACCATATCAGTGGAAGAACAGACACCAGGATGTGACATACCTAATTGAACATAGCAATAAACTCACCATATCAGTGGAAGAACAGACACCAGGATGTGACATACCTAATTGAACATAGCAATAAACTCACCATATCAGTGGAAGAACAGACACCAGGATGTGACATACCTAATTGAACATAGCAATAAACTCACCATATCAGTGGAAGAACAGACACCAGGATGTGACATACCTAATTGAACATAGCAATAAACTCACCATATCAGTGGAAGAACAGACACCAGGATGTGACATACCTAATTGAACATAGCAATAAACTCACCATATCAGTGGAAGAACAGACACCAGGATGTGACATACCTAATTGAACATAGCAATAAACTCACCATATCAGTGGAAGAACAGACACCAGGATGTGACATACCTAATTGAACATAGCAATAAACTCATCATATCAGTGGAAGAACAGTCACCAGGATGCTTGACATACCTAATTGAACATAGCAATAAACTCACCATATCAGTGGAAGAACAGACACCAGGATGTGACATGAACATAGCAATAAACTCACCATATCAGTGGAAGAACAGACACCAGGATGTGACATACCTAATTGAACATAGCAATAAACTCACCATATCAGTGGAAGAACAGACACCAGGATGTGACATACCTAATTGAACATAGCAATAAACTCACCATATCAGTGGAAGAACAGACACCAGGATGTGACATACCTAATTGAACATAGAACAGAAGCAATAAACTCACCATATCAGTGGAAGAACAGACACCAGGATGTGACATACCTAATTGAACATAGCAATAAACTCACCATATCAGTGGAAGAACAGACACCAGGATGCTTGACATACCTAATTGAACATAGCAATACTCACCATATCAGTGGAAGAACAGACACCAGGATGTGACATACCCATTGAACATAGCAATAAACTCACCATATCAGTGGAAGAACAGACACCAGGATGTGACATACCTAATTGAACATAGCAATAAACTCACCATATCAGTGGAAGAACAGACATCAGGATGTGACATACCTAATTGAACATAGCAATACTCACCATATCAGTGGAAGAACAGACACCAGGATGTGACATACCTAATTGAACATAGCAATAAACTCACCATATCAGTGGAAGAACAGACACCAGGATGTGACATACCTAATTGAACATAGCAATACTCATCATATCAGTGGAAGAACAGACACCAGGATGTGACATACCTAATTGAACATAGCAATAAACTCACCATATCAGTGGAAGAACAGACACCAGGATGTGACATACCTAATTGAACATAGCAATACTCACCATATCAGTGGAAGAACAGACACCAGCATGTGACATACCTAATTGAACATAGCAATAAACTCACCATATCAGTGGAAGAACAGACATCAGGATGTGACATACCTAATTGAACATAGCAATAAACTCACCATATCAGTGGAAGAACAGACACCAGGATGTGACATACCTAATTGAACATAGCAATAAACTCACCATATCATTGGAAGAACAGACACCAGGATGTGACATACCTAATTGAACATAGCAATAAACTCACCATATCAGTGGAAGAACAGACACCAGGATGTGACATACCTAATTGAACATAGCAATAAACTCACCATATCAGTGGAAGAACAGACACCAGGATGTGACATACCTAACTGAACATAGCAATAAACTCACCATATCGGTGGAAGAACAGACACCAGGATGTGACATACCTAACTGAACATAGCAATAAACTCACCATATCAGTGGAAGAACAGACACCAGGATGTGACATACCTAATTGAACATAGCAATAAACTCACCATATCAGTGGAAGAACAGACATCAGGATGTGACATACCTAATTGAACATAGCAATAAACTCACCATATCAGTGGAAGAACAGACACCAGGATGTGACATACCTAATTGAACATAGCAATAAACTCACCATATCAGTGGAAGAACAGACACCAGGATGTGACATACCTAATTGAACATAGCAATAAACTCACCATATCAGTGGAAGAACAGACACCAGGATGTGACATACCTAATTGAACATAGCAATACTCACCATATCAGTGGAAGAACAGACACCAGGATGTGACATACCTAATTGAACATAGCAATAAACTCACCATATCAGTGGAAGAACAGACACCAGGATGTGACATACCTAATTGAACATAGCAATAAACTCACCATATCAGTGGAAGAACAGACATCAGGATGTGACATACCTAATTGAACATAGCAATAAACTCACCATATCAGTGGAAGAACAGACATCAGGATGTGACACACCTAATTGAACATAGCAATACTCACCATATCAGTGGAAGAACAGACACCAGGATGTGACATACCTAATTGAACATAGCAATAAACTCACCATATCAGTGGAAGAACAGACACCAGGATGTGACATACCTAATTGAACATAGCAATAAACTCACCATATCAGTGGAAGAACAGACATCAGGATGTGACATACCTAATTGAACATAGCAATAAACTCACCATATCAGTGGAAGAACAGACATCAGGATGTGACATACCTAATTGAACATAGCAATAAACTCACCATATCAGTGGAAGAACAGACATCAGGATGTGACATACCTAATTGAACATAGCAATAAACTCACCATATCAGTGGAAGAACAGACATCAGGATGTGACATACCTAATTGAACATAGCAATAAACTCACCATATCAGTGGAAGAACAGACACCAGGATGTGACATACCTAATTGAACATAGCAATAAACTCACCATATCAGTGGAAGAACAGACACCAGGATGTGACATACCTAATTGAACATAGCAATACTCACCATATCAGTGGAAGAACAGACACCAGGATGTGACATACCTAATTGAACATAGCAATAAACTCACCATATCAGTGGAAGAACAGACACCAGGATGTGACATACCTAATTGAACATAGCAATAAACTCACCATATCAGTGGAAGAACAGACACCAGGATGTGACATACCTAATTGAACATAGCAATAAACTCACCATATCAGTGGAAGAACAGACACCAGGATGTGACATACCTAATTGAACATAGCAATAAACTCACCATATCAGTGGAAGAACAGACACCAGGATGTGACATACCTAATTGAACATAGCAATAAACTCACCATATCAGTGGAAGAACAGACACCAGGATGTGACATACCTAATTGAACATAGCAATAAACTCACCATATCAGTGGAAGAACAGACACCAGGATGTGACATACCTAATTGAACATAGCAATACTCACCATATCAGTGGAAGAACAGACACCAGGATGGGACATACCTAATTGAACATAGCAATAAACTCACCATATCAGTGGAAGAACAGACATCAGGATGTGACATACCTAATTGAACATAGCAATACTCACCATATCAGTGGAAGAACAGACACAAACACCAGGATGTGACACGGAATGAAGAACAGTGTGTAGATGATGACAGACCTGGAACAAGCAACAAGAAGCTCCATGAATTACCCAGTGAGTGAGTGAGTATCGTTTCATGCTGCTGTTAGCAATATTCCAGCAATATCACAGCATGGGACACCAGAAACAGGCTTCATACATTTTATCCATGTGGGGAATTGAACCCAGGTCTTCAGCGTGAATGACGATTGCTATCAAGTTGTAAAATTGTTAGTAATGCTTTAACCATTAGGATTTTTTTACCCCACCACCCCTTGAAATAACCCGATCGAACAAGGCCGGCACTGTGTGTCAGTACACTGGTTATTCTCCAGTGGTGATGTTGGACACTAGGCACAGTGGTCACACATGCCATTATTGTCTTTGGTGAATATATGACATCATCTCTTTGTAATTCATATCATCATTAACATAATAATGATGAAATGAGAGAAGGTAAGAAAACTTGTCTTGAAGGAAACTGCTTAGAAAGTAAGTTAACTCATTCATGTGTTATAATGTCAAGTTAAATTACATGTAGCTTTAATGGTGCTAAAACTGAATGTGAAACTGCTGGTTTTATATGTCCAATCTAGCATGGCCAGCTCTACATTTATAACACATTATCCTTGTTTCCACTGCACCATGACAGTATTAAACACAAACACCTTCATATGGGTTGTCAGTGTGAAAAAAGGACACAATGAACAAATGGCCTTTGAGAAAAAGATGCTGCTGGTGTTTTCCATGTAATTACACTTAACTTTGATGTGTGACCAGCATTGAATGTGTGTAGCACAGCAAACCGGCAGGGGATCTTGAAATTACCACACACCCCATATCAAACTGCAATGTTTGGTTCTACACAATATGTCATCATGACATCACACTGCTCACAGTGGCACAATAAACATGATGTCATACTCAGATATAGCAAAGAACAAAACCTCACTGGTGTCGGTGAAACTTAACTACAATCTCCTTCTAAACAGCTATTGTGATTTCAGCTCAAAATGACTCTACCGCGTGCACCACAACTGCGTAACTGCAATCTTGAAGCCTATTATAGTGTACATAATGAGTTCAACTTGATAGCTTACAATGACTGAGGAGATGGTTTTTAAATGTATTAGCCTCTGTGACGTTTGCAGACATCAAATCAGCTGTTTCAATAAGAGGTGGTTACTGTCATTTGAAACCTGTAACTTTACAACACAAAGTCCGCTGGTGAATCTCTCTTGATTCTTAATCCTCACCTCCTTCCTCCCATCCTCCCATCCCGATCCAGCAGAATCAACACATGGGGCGGTCCTCCGACCACACATCATAGTCAGCATGCTGAAACACACAACACATCTTAGACCTCCTCCAGACACAACCTCCAGACATGCACCTCCTCCAGACACACAACACATGTTTTCAGACTCTCTCCAGACATTACACAACATGCTTTCAGACCTCCTCCAGACACACAACACATGCTTCAGACCTTCCTCCAGACACACACAACACATGCTTCAGACCTCCTCCAGAGACACACACACATGCTTCAGACCTCCTCCAGACACACACAACACATCAGCTTCTTCAGACCTCCTCCAGACACACACAACACATGACCTTCAGACACAGACCTAGCTAGACCTCCAGACACACACAACACATGCTTCAGACACACACATGCTAGACACACACACAACAGAGTTTCCAGACCTCCTCCAAACACACAACACATGTTTCAGACCTCCTCCAGACACACACACACACACATGCCAGCCACACACACACAACACATGCTTCAGACCCTCCTCCTAGGACACACACAACAATGCTTCAGACCTCCAGACACACACAACACATGCTTCACACACACATATATGAGAGAGCTGAATCTCCTCCAAACACACAACACATGTTTCAGACCTCCTCCAGACACACACAACACATGCTTCACACACACACACATGAGAGAGCTGACCCTCCAGACACACACAACACATGTTCAGACACCTCCCATCTGAGTCTCCTCCACACACACACTTCAGAACCTCCTGACATCACACACAAGCCACGTTTCACACACACACACAGTTGAATCTCCTCCAGACACACACAACACATGCTTCAGATCTCCTCCAGACACACACAACACATGTTTCACACACACACACACAGCTGAATCTCCTCCAGACACACACAACACATGCTTCAGACCCCCCAGCTGTCTCCTCCACACACAACACATGCTTCAGACCTCCTCCAGACACACACAACACATGTTTCACACACACACACACACACACACACACACAGCTGAATCTCCTCCAGACACACACAACACATGCTTCAGATCTCCTCCAGACACAGACAACACATGTTTCACACACACACACACACACACACACACACACACACACAGCTGAATCTCCTCCAGACACACACAACACATGCTTCAGACCCCCCAGCTGTCTCCTCCAGACACACACAACACATGCTTCAGACACACTCCCATCTGAGTCTCCTCCAGACACACACAACACATGCTTCTCTCTCTCTCACACACACACACACACACACACACACACACACACCTGAGTCTCCTCCAAACACACATGTTCATTGTTGACTCATCCTCTCCCTGACTATCAACAGTGTGTCTGGCATGTCAGAAGCTGGTATTACAGATATGTATGATAATATACATTTATTTAGTTTGACCATACATAATCTGTATGGAAATAATCGGTGTTCCTTAACTTCCGTTGAGTAGTATATACCTACCCTAATAACATAATGAGTTGCTGATGCAGCTATTCCCAACACTGTATGCAAATTTGTAGCCTCATTTAATCCCATTTCACAAAACTGTGCACTAAAAGGTTGCTTTTGAAATATACAAACAGCATCGCGATGATACAAGAGAATATCAGGCTACAATGCTGCAGCTTCATGCGGCGAGTTGAGTGTGTATTGCCTTGCAGTTAGGCCCAGCTGCCTCAAATAACTGCCAACCGGAGCTTCAAGGTTGTTGTTATTGTATCGGGTCGGCAGTTTCAAATATTTCTAACCCACTGTTTTCCTTCTGAGCCCTCAAAGCAGCTGATGAAAGGCTGTTTAATGTAACATGTCTGCATGCTGCATGTGGTCTCCGCCTTCTGTCATCAAATCCATTTTAGATCAGAACTACTATGACATATCCAACTGTATTACCATTCTCTTTATTATTTCTTGTATTTAGACAGTTCATAAGTTAGTTGAAACAATCCTCTAAGTGTCCAGTTGAAAATATTTTTAACTCGCTCCAGGTTTTACAACTTCAACAGAAATTACCAAGTAGTGTTCAGCTATTACCTAAAACTGACCCTCTTTTGTTCAATATGGGACACAGTACCTCACATTCTCCAACTTTGCCCATTATTTTCACAGTTCAATCCAAACTTGTTTACGAGTGTTTGCAAGGATACCGTTTCCCTACCTGTGCTAGAACTGGTTCTTCAGTCCGGAAGGCAGGAAACAGAAGAATGATCCAGCCTCCCGTCAGTATGACATAAGCATTGATAGCACCAATCAGGAACACGTTCCACAGGGATAACCTGAAAACACATCAACAGGTCCATCCCTGTACATATATCCCTTTAATGTGAAAACACATCAACAGGTCCATCCCTGTACATATATCCCTTTAATGTGAAAACACATGTACATATATCCCTTTAATGTGAAAACACATCAACAGGTCCATCCCTGTACATATATCCCTTTAATGTGAAAACACATCAACAGGTCCATCCCCTGTACATATATCCCTTTAATGTGAAAACACATCAACAGGTGTACATATATCCCTTTAATGTGAAAACATCAGCAGGTATCCCTGTACATATATCCCTTTAATGTGAAAACACATCAACAGGTCCATCCCTGTACATATATCCCTTTAATGTGAAAACACATATCCATCCCATATATCCCTTTAATGTGAAAACACATCAACAGGTCCATCCCTGTACATATATCCCTTTAATGTGAAAACACATCAACAGGTCCATCCCTGTACATATATCCCTTTAATGTGAAAACACATCAACAGGTCCATCCCTGTACATATATCCCTTTAATGTGAAAACACATCAACAGGTCCATCCCTGTACATATATCCCTTTAATGTGAAAACACATCAACAGGTCCATCCCTGTACATATATCCCTTTAATGTGAAAACACATCAGCAGGTCCATCCCTGTACATATATCCCCATATATCCCTTTAATGTGAAAACACATCAACAGGTCCATCCCTGTACATATATCCCTTTAATGTGAAAACACATCAACAGGTCCATCCCTGTACATATATCCCTTTAATGTGAAAACACATCAACAGGTCCATCCCTGTACATATATCCCTTTAATGTGAAAACACATCAGCAGGTCCATCCCTGTACATATATCCCTTTAATGTGAAAACACACACATCATATCCCTGTCAGCAGGTCCATCCCTGTACATATATCCCTTTAATGTGAAAACACATCAACAGGTCCATCCCTGTACATATATCCCTTTAATGTGAAAACACATCAACAGGTCCATCCCTGTACATATATCCCTTTAATGTGAAAACACATCAGCCTTTTGATGGAAAGTTTGAAATACGACTAGCTTTATGAATAACAATTAAATTGTAGCTGGAAGACAGAGAATGACCGTCGTCTTTGTCAGTAACATTACAACAGTGTCAGCAACTTGAATGCGATACAAGAACCTGTATCGAAACGTCGTGCTCTGAAATAAAAAGAGTTGTCATCCATATATACTTGTTCTATCTGACTTCCAACTTCTAAAATGCCACTGAAAGAAGTGTCAGCAAGGTGGGTTCAGATCTGGAGTAGGAGAACCATTGGTCAGTGGGGTCAGACATGACAGATCCATACCACCGGGTATTATATATAAGACAGCATACCACCCGGTATTATATATAAGACAGCATAGCACCGGGCACAGCATAGCACCGGGTATTATATATAAGACAGCATACCACCGGGTATTATATATAAGACAGCATACCACCGGGTATTATATATAAGACAGCATACCAGCCAGGTATTATATATAAGACAGCATACCACCAGAGGAAGAGTATCTATTATATATAAGACAGCATAGCAGCCAGGCCACAGAGGAAGAGTATCTGTTTATCATGGGGAGTTCATGCCATCTATCAATGCTCCACACAACTGACGATACAATGTGACATTCCTATCCATATATCCATTCATGATTTAAGTATGTATTAACTTACAAAATGTTATACATACTTCAGTTTGCAATAACCCGAAAAATCACTTGTGCTGACAATACCTTACTGTTATATCACAAGGCTACAATGATAAAATATCCAAGTTCAACTCAAAGTGGTTGATAGCAACTTGCCTTTAGTTCAGCCACATTCTATGTACAAGTTCACTTGAGTATCTCAACATGTATCATCATGATTCAAGTGACATACCTAATTGAACATACCCATACTCACCATATCAGTGGAGTGAGTGAGTGAGTGAATTTACTGTTATGCCGCACTCAGCAATATTTCAGCTAAATGGCGGCGGTCTGTAAATAATCGAGTCTGGACCAGACAAACCAGTGCTCAACATCAAGAGCATCGATCTGCACAATTGGGAACTGATGACATGTGTCAACCAAGTCAGCAAGCCTGACCACCCGATCCCGTTAGTGGCCTCTTACAGCCATGGGTTACTGAAGATCAATCCTAACCCGTATCAGTGGAAGAACAGACACCAGGATGTGACATACCTAATTGAACATAGCAATACTCACCATATCAGTGGAAGAACAGACACCAGGATGTGACATACCTAATTGAACATAGCAATAAACTCACCATATCAGTGGAAGAACAGACACCAGGATGTGACATACCTAATTGAACATAGCAATACTCACCATATCAGTGGAAGAACACACACCAGGATGTGACATACCTAATTGAACATAGCAATACTCACCATATCAGTGGAACAACAGACACCAGGATGTGACATACCTAATTGAACATAGCAATACTCACCATATCAGTGGAAGAACAGACACCAGGATGTGACATACCTAATTGAACATAGCAATACTCACCATATCAGTGGAAGAACAGACACCAGGATGTGACATACCTAATTGAACATAGCAATACTCACCATATCAGTGGAAGAACAGACACCAGGATGTGACATACCTAATTGAACATAGCAATAAACTCACCATATCAGTGGAAGAACAGACACCAGGATGTGACATACCTAATTGAACATAGCAATAAACTCACCATATCAGTGGAAGAACAGACACCAGGATGTGACATACCTAATTGAACATAGCAATACTCACCATATCAGTGGAAGAACAGACACCAGGATGTGACATACCTAATTGAACATAGCAATACTCACCATATCAGTGGAACAACAGACACCAGGATGTGACATACCTAATTGAACATAGCAATAAACTCACCATATCAGTGGAAGAACAGACACCAGGATGTGACATACCTAATTGAACATAGCAATAAACTCACCATATCAGTGGAAGAACAGACACCAGGATGTGACATACCTAATTGAACATAGCAATAAACTCACCATATCAGTGGAAGAACAGACACCAGGATGTGACATACCTAATTGAACATAGCAATAAACTCACCATATCAGTGGAAGAACAGACACCAGGATGTGACATACCTAATTGAACATAGCAATAAACTCACCATATCAGTGGAAGAACAGACACCAGGATGTGACATACCTAATTGAACATAGCAATAAACTCACCATATCAGTGGAAGAACAGACACCAGGATGTGACATACCTAATTGAACATAGCAATAAACTCACCATATCAGTGGAAGAACAGACACCAGGATGTGACATACCTAATTGAACATAGCAATAAACTCACCATATCAGTGGAAGAACAGACACCAGGATGTGACATACCTAATTGAACATAGCAATAAACTCACCATATCAGTGGAAGAACACACACCAGGATGGATACCTAATTGAACATACCTATCACCATATCAGTGGAAGAACAGACACCAGGATGTGACATACCTAATTGAACATAGCAATAAACTCACCATATCAGTGGAAGAACAGACACCAGGATGTGACATACCTAATTGAACATAGCAATAAACTCACCATATCAGTGGAAGAACAGACACCAGGATGTGACATACCTAATTGAACATAGCAATAAACTCACCATATCAGTGGAAGAACAGACACCAGGATGTGACATACCTAATTGAACATAGCAATAAACTCACCATATCAGTGGAAGAACAGACACCAGGATGTGACATACCTAATTGAACATAGCAATAAACTCACCATATCAGTGGAAGAACACACACCAGGATGTGACATACCTAATTGAACATAGCAATAAACTCACCATATCAGTGGAAGAACAGACACCAGGATGTGACATACCTAATTGAACATAGCAATAAACTCACCATATCAGTGGAAGAACACACACCAGGATGTGACATACCTAATTGAACATAGCAATAAACTCACCATATCAGTGGAAGAACAGACACCAGGATGTGACATACCTAATTGAACATAGCAATAAACTCACCATATCAGTGGAAGAACAGACACCAGGATGTGACATACCTAATTGAACATAGCAATAAACTCACCATATCAGTGGAAGAACAGACACCAGGATGTGACATACCTAATTGAACATAGCAATAAACTCACCATATCAGTGGAAGAACACACACCAGGATGTGACATACCTAATTGAACATAGCAATAAACTCACCATATCAGTGGAAGAACACACACCAGGATGTGACATACCTAATTGAACATAGCAATAAACTCACCATATCAGTGGAAGAACACACACCAGGATGTGACCAGGATGACATACCTAATTGAACATAGCAATAAACTCACCATATCAGTGGAAGAACAGACACCAGGATGTGACATACCTAATTGAACATAGCAATAAACTCACCATATCAGTGGAAGAACAGACACCAGGATGTGACATACCTAATTGAACATAGCAATAAACTCACCATATCAGTGGAAGAACAGACACCAGGATGTGACATACCTAATTGAACATAGCAATACTCACCATATCAGTGGAAGAACACACACCAGGATGTGACATACCTAATTGAACATAGCAATACTCACCATATCAGTGGAAGGAACAGACACCAGGATGTGACATACCTAATTGAACATAGCAATAATAAACTCACCATATCAGTGGAAGAACAGACACCAGGATGTGACATACCTAATTGAACATAGCAAATACTCACCATATCAGTGGAAGAACAGACACCAGGATGTGACATACCTAATTGAACATAGCAATAAACTCACCATATCAGTGGAAGAACAGACACCAGGATGTGACATACCTAATTGAACATAGCAATAAACTCACCATATCAGTGGAAGAACAGACACCAGGATGTGACATACCTAATTGAACATAGCAATAAACTCACCATATCAGTGGAAGAACAGACACCAGGATGTGACATACCTAATTGAACATAGCAATAAACTCACCATATCAGTGGAAGAACAGACACCAGGATGTGACATACCTAATTGAACATAGCAATAAACTCACCATATCAGTGGAAGAACAGACACCAGGATGTGACATACCTAATTGAACATAGCAATAAACTCACCATATCAGTGGAAGAACAGACACCAGGATGTGACATACCTAATTGAACATAGCAATAAACTCACCATATCAGTGGAAGAAACAGACACCAGGATGTGACATACCTAATTGAACATAGCAATAAACTCACCATATCAGTGGAAGAACACACACCAGGATGTGACATACCTAATTGAACATAGCAATAAACTCACCATATCAGTGGAAGAACAGACACCAGGATGTGACATACCTAATTGAACATAGCAATAAACTCACCATATCAGTGGAAGAACAGACACCAGGATGTGACATACCTAATTGAACATAGCAATAAACTCACCATATCAGTGGAAGAACAGACACCAGGATGTGACATACCTAATTGAACATAGCAATAAACTCACCATATCAGTGGAAGAACAGACACCAGGATGTGACATATACCTAATTGAACATAGCAATAAACTCACCATATCAGTGGAAGAACACACACCAGGATGTGACATACCTAATTGAACATAGCAATAAACTCACCATATCAGTGGAAGAACAGACACCAGGATGTGACATACCTAATTGAACATAGCAATAAACTCACCATATCAGTGGAAGAACAGACACCAGGATGTGACATACCTAATTGAACATAGCAATAAACTCACCATATCAGTGGAAGAACAGACACCAGGATGTGACATACCTAATTGAACATAGCAATAAACTCACCATATCAGTGGAAGAACAGACACCAGGATGTGACATACCTAATTGAACATAGCAATAAACTCACCATATCAGTGGAAGAACAGACACCAGGATGTGACATACCTAATTGAACATAGCAATAAACTCACCATATCAGTGGAAGAACACACACCAGGATGTGACATACCTAATTAAACATAGCAAAGAACTCACCATGACATCAGTGGAAGAACAGACACCAGGACCAGGATGACATACCTAATTGAACATAGCAATAAACTCACCATATCAGTGGAAGAACAGACACCAGGATGTGACATACCTAATTGAACATAGCAATAAACTCACCATATCAGTGGAAGAACAGACACCAGGATGTGACATACCTAATTGAACATAGCAAATACTCACCATATCAGTGGAAGAACAGACACCAGGATGTGACATACCTAATTGAACATAGCAATAAACTCACCATATCAGTGGAAGAACAGACACCAGGATGTGACATACCTAATTGAACATAGCAATAAACTCACCATATCAGTGGAAGAACAGACACCAGGATGTGACATACCTAATTGAACATATCAGTAAACTCACCATATCAGTGGAAGAACAGACACCAGGATGTGACATACCTAATTGAACATAGCAATAATACTCACCATATCAGTGGAAGAACAGACACCAGGATGTGACATACCTAATTGAACATAGCAATAAACTCACCATATCAGTGGAAGAACAGACACCAGGATGTGACATACCTAATTGAACATAGCAATAAACTCACCATATCAGTGGAAGAACAGACACCAGGATGTGACATACCTAATTGAACATAGCAATAAACTCACCATATCAGTGGAAGAACAGACACCAGGATGTGACATACCTAATTGAACATAGCAATAAACTCACCATATCAGTGGAAGAACAGACACCAGGATGTGACATACCTAATTGAACATAGCAATAAACTCACCATATCAGTGGAAGAACACACACCAGGATGTGACATACCTAATTGAACATAGCAATAAACTCACCATATCAGTGGAAGAACAGACACCAGGATGTGACATACCTAATTGAACATAGCAATAAACTCACCATATCAGTGGAAGAACAGACACCAGGATGTGACATACCTAATTGAACATAGCAATAAACTCACCATATCAGTGGAAGAACAGACACCAGGATGTGACATACCTAATTGAACATAGCAATAAACTCACCATATCAGTGGAAGAACAGACACCAGGATGTGACATACCTAATTGAACATAGCAATAAACTCACCATATCAGTGGAAGAACAGACACCAGGATGTGACATACCTAATTGAACATAGCAATAAACTCACCATATCAGTGGAAGAACAGACACCAGGATGTGACATACCTAATTGAACATAGCAATAAACTCACCATATCAGTGGAAGAACAGACACCAGGATGTGACATACCTAATTGAACATAGCAATAAACTCACCATATCAGTGGAAGAACAGACACCAGGATGTGACATACCTAATTGAACATAGCAATAAACTCACCATATCAGTGGAAGAACATAAACACCAGGATGTGGAAGACATACCTAATTGAACCTAATAGCAATAAACTCACCATATCAGTGGAAGAACAGACACCAGGATGTGACATACCTAATTGAACATAGCAATAAACTCACCATATCAGTGGAAGAACAGACACCAGGATGTGACATACCTAATTGAACATAGCAATAAACTCACCATATCAGTGGAAGAACAGACACCAGGATGTGACATACCTAATTGAACATAGCAATAAACTCACCATATCAGTGGAAGAACAGACACCCAGGATGTGACATACCTAATTGAACATAGCAATAAACTCACCATATCAGTGGAAGAACAGACACCAGGATGTGACATACCTAATTGAACATAGCAATAAACTCACCATATCAGTGGAAGAACAGACACCAGGATGTGACATACCTAATTGAACATAGCAATAAACTCACCATATCAGTGGAAGAACAGACACCAGGATGTGACATACCTAATTGAACATAGCAATAAACTCACCATATCAGTGGAAGAACAGACACAAACACCAGGATGTGACACGGAATGAAGAACAGTGTGTAGATGATGACAGACCTGGAACAAGCAACAAGAAGTTCCATGAATTACCCAGTGAGTGAGTGAGTATTGTTTTATGCTGCTTTTAGCAATATTCCAGCAATATCATGGCGGGGGACACCAGAAATGGGCTTCATACATTGTACCCATGTGGGGAATTGAACCCAGGTCTTCGGCATGACGAGTGAATGCTTTAACCATTAGGCTGAATGCTTTAACCATTAGGCTACCCCACCACCCCTTGAATTACCCAGATCAAACAAGGCCGAATATATTTATAAAAATCGGCACTGTGTGTCAGTACACTGGTTATTCTCCAGTGGTGATGTTGGACACTAGGCAAGGTGGTCACACATGCCATTAGTGTCCTGGGTGAATATATGACATCATCTCTTTGTAATTCATATCATCATTAACATAATAATGATGAAATGAGAGAAGGTAAGAAAACTTGTCTTGAAGGAAACTGCTTAGAAAGTAAGTTAACTCATTCATGTGTTAAAATGTTGAGTTAAATTACAGTTAACTCATTCATGTGTTATAATGTCGAAAAGTTAAATTACATGTAGCTTTAATGGTGCTAAAACTGAATGTGAAACTGACGGTTTTATATGTCCAATCTAGCATGGCCAGCTCTACATTTATAACACATTATCCTTGTTTCCACTGCACCATGACAGTATTAAACACAAACACCTTCATATGGGTTGTCAGTGTGAAAAAAGGACACAATGAACAAATGGCCTTTGAGAAAAAGATGCTGCTGGTGTTTTCCATGTAATTACACTTAACTTTGATGTGTGACCAGCATTGAATGTGTGTAGCACAGCAAACCGGCAGGGGATCTTGAAATTACCACACACCCCATATCAAACTGCAATGTTTGGTTCTACACAATATGTCATCATGACATCACACTGCTCACAGTGGCACAATAAATATGATGTCATACTCAGATATAGCAAAGAACAAAACCTCACTGGTGTCGGTGAAACTTAACTACAATCTCCTTCTAAACAGCTATTGTGATTTCAGCTCAAAATGACTCTACACGTACCACAACTGCCGTAACTGCAATCTTGAAGCCTATTATAGTGTACATAATGAGTTCAACTTGATAGCTTACAATGACTGAGGAGATGGTTTTGTAAATGTATTAGCCTCTGTGACGTTGTAGACATCAAATCAGCTGTTTCAATAAGAGGTGGTTACTGTCATTTGAAACCTGTAACTTTACAATACAAAGTCACGGTAGAATCTCTCTTGATTCTTAATCCTCACCTCCTCCTCTCTCCCATCCGATCCAGCAGAATCAGCAGGACGGTCCCGACCGTCATCATAGTCAGCATGCTGAAACACACAACACATGCTTCAGACCTCCTCCAGACACACACAACACATGCTTCAGACCTCCTCCAGACACACACAACACATGCTTCAGACCTCCTCCAGACACACACAACACATGCTTCAGACCTCCTCCAGACACACACAACACATGCTTCAGACCTCCTCCAGACACACACAACACATGCTTCAGACCTCCTCCAGACACACACAACACATGCTTCAGACCTCCTCCAGACACACACAACACATGCTTCAGACCTCCTCCAGACACACACAACACATGCTTGCTTCAGACCTCCTCCAGACACACACAACACATGCATTCAGACCTCCTCCAGACACACACAACACATGTTTCAGACCTCCTCCAGACACACACAACACATGCTTCAGACCTCCTCCAGACACACACAACACATGCTTCAGACCTCCTCCAGACACACACAACACATGTTTCAGACCTCCTCCAGACACACACAACACATGCTTCAGACCTCCTCCAGACACACACAACACATGCTTCAGACCTCCTCCAGACACACACAACACATGCTTCAGACCTCCTCCAGACACACAACACATGCTTCAGACCTCCTCCAGACACACACAACACATGCTTCAGACTCAGACTTCCTCCAGACACACACAACACATGCTTCAGACCTCCTCCAGACACACACAACACATGCTTCAGACCTCCTCCAGAATCTCCTCCAGACACACAACACATGCTTCAGACCTCCTCCAGACACACACAACACATGCTTCAGACCTCCTCCAGACACACACACAATACATGCTTCAGACACTCCTCCAGCTGAATCTCCTCCAGACACACACAACACATGCTTCAGATCTCCTCCAGACACACACAACACACCTCCTCCAGACACACACAACACATGCTGAACCTCCTCCAGACACACACAACACATGCTTCAGACCTCCTCCAGACACACACAACACATGCTTCAGACCTCCTCCAGACACACACAACACATGTTTCACACACACACACACACACACACACACAGCTGAATCTCCTCCAGACACACACAACACATGCTTCAGATCTCCTCCAGAGCTGAATCACCCACCACACACACACAACACATGTTTCACACACACACACAGCTGAATCTCCTCCAGACACACACAACACATGCTTCAGACCCCCCAGCTGTCTCCTCCAGACACACACAACACATGCTTCAGACACACTCCCATCTGAGTCTCCTCCAGACACACACAACACATGCTTCTCTCTCTCTCTCACACACACACACACACACCTGAGTCTCCTCCAAACACACATGTTCATTGTTGACTCATCCTCTCCCTGACTATCAACAGTGTGTCTGGCATGTCAGAAGCTGGTATTACAGATATGTATGATAATATACATTTATTTAGTTTGACCATACATAATCTGTATGAAATAATCGGGTGTTCCTTAACTTCCGTTGAGTAGTATATACCTACCTAATAACATAATGAGTTGCTGATGCAGCTATTCCCAACACTGTATGCATGTTGCAACCTCATTTAATCCCATTTCACAAAACTGTGCACTAAAAGGCTGCTTTGAAAATATACAAACAGCATCACGATACAAGAGAATATCAGGCTACAATGCTGCAGCTTCATGCGAGTTGAGTGTGTATTGGTGCAGTTAGCCCAGCGTTCGAAATAACTGCCAACCCGGAGGCCCAAGCGCCGGTTGTTATTGTATCGGGCCGGCAGTTTCAAATATTTGCAGGCCCTTGTGGCCTTCAGTAAATTGTCTGTCATTTTATTTATTTTTAAACTAGAATCTTTCCAATAATTTTTTTTTTTATTAACATTCGGGAATCATTCATGATCCACGATGTTAAGATAACTTACAGCTTCACGTCTTGGTATTTCAGCACTTTGCGCATAGGAATGTCAACACCAGTCTTTAACAAAAAGAAACTTCTCTCTGAGCCATAGGCTTCACTAATTGATTTTGTAGAAACTGTGTACAGTGTAGTCTATTTGTTTTTATTGGTTTGACTTTAACAAAATGGGCCTGCAGATTTCATTCAGGGCCTGTACATTTTTAAAGCCTGCAGGAAGCAACACTGAGTTAGCCGTGTGTGTCTGACAGTGCTATCCTGTGGACATTGACACTGATTCACATTAATTTCAACAGGTTTCTTGTAACAAATTACAATACAAAAAAATGAGTGAAGGTCCTTTTACCTTGCTGTCCATAGTACTACAGTACATTGATGTCTACAAATAATTGAATCACAACCAGACAAACCACATGTTTACAGCCAGATCACATCGGACACACTACAATGGAAGCATTATTCACATACTTCAGGAAAAGAGACAACAAACAGTTCTCACAATTCCCCAACAAATCCGATGACAATGAGGAAGCAGGGAAGGGCAGCAGCACAGATCCGTTTGTGATATCGGAAAGGTCCTGGGTCCACCAGCTTCTCTTCCTCTTCGGAAGAAGTATCCACAACCTGCCTCCTGTCATCTTCATCTTCACTCTCTGAAACATCGGATTCTGTCTCCGTGGATATCTGGTGATGAACACTTCGATGATGGAGTTGCTCCAAATCCAAGTCCATTTTACTTCTGAAATAAAATACAATATCTTTGCCTTCACTTTTTGAAAAGTGCTTTTTGACAATTATCCTGAAATATCTCTGCAGCATACCTTGTAAAAGTTCAGAGTTAACCAGATGAAAACCACAAGGGAAGACAATCACGGTGTAATACCTCAGCCAAACCATATCTCAGTACCTGACTTGGAGGGCAATATTATGCATGTTGTAGAAATTATGCACAACCAAGTTAACAATTTGAAAATAGTTGCCATTTAACTTCTAATAAACTCAGTTACAAGGATTGTGAGAATATCTGATTCATTTATGAGCTCAAAGATGTGTAAAACAGTGACAGTATTAGAAGAGATGTAAAAAATAGTGATCAACAGTACTGACAGAAGTACATGCTATATTTATGTTGAAGAGCGGGTTTAGAATTGGTCTCCAGCAAATCATGTTGGTCATAAGAGACAATTAATTTTATTGGATTGGATTGTATAGCTTGTTGCACATGATGTCAATCACTGAATTGTCTGGTTCGGACTTAATTATTTACAGACCACATTCTTTCAGCAGAAATATTGCTGAGAGTGGCATTATATAACAAACATGCTGTATTACTCTGAAAGTTCAGAAATATACTCCAATCCAGAAACCATTGTCTCATATATATTTAATCCTCGTCTTACATCTTGTGTAATCTGCAGCTAAAACCATAAGAGCATGTCACATTTGTGATACCTAATAGCATTGAGCACTTCCTGTTACACAGAATATTGCATTTGTATAAACCTATGTGTATTGCCATACAATTACATATACACTAATATACAGAGGTGACACAAGTCTTATCTTTATTAAAATATGTACCCATGAGCCCTGTGATAAGTTTTGTATCAGATGTAGATGAGTGGCGAATACATAAGGCACAGAGCTTTTTTATCACTTGTTATCCACAATACATAACATAACATAATAATAATAACACGCAACCATGAATATGTCAATATTCAAAAGCAAGGATCACTGTAACCTGAAATAAAGTAACATTCAACGACTGACAAAACACTTAAGTATAATAGGCCATTTAAAAAAAATAGGGGGCACTGGATGTTTTCAGCTCCGGTAAACTTTGGGGTTATCTATACATTGAAAGTCAACTATGTTTTCAAAGTCCAGAGAGTCTGGGATCGCCGGTTACCTTATCCATGATCAAACACTTACATGGTAATGAATGTGCAATCTTTTACATCCTTGAGACAACGTTCGTGCACGCTGCCATCTTGGAAAACCCCTTTATCACGTGATTTGTGGAATTCCCTATATATATCCGTGACGTCACAATGGTTCGCGGGCTCTGAACTGAAATGACAGGTGCCTGAAAATGAGGTTGAAAGAGTTTTTGAAGAATAGTTTTTCACTTGACATCGTGAAATAAATTTATTTACCTACTTTGAATAATTCCGAAAACAATACTCCCTGTAAAGTTTAAAAATGTATTAAATTGAAATGTAAACATTGGGAAACCCCTTACCGGCGCGTGAGGAAATCCACGCATGTTATGATGACGTCAGAGGGATGGTGGTGTTCAAGATGGCGGCGGTGTGCATGGGAGATAATGGTTCATTAGATAGTGAGGATTTAGCTGAAAGGAATACCGATCCTGTGTTGTTCGATATGGTGAAGAAAAATGGCATCAATCATAATTGTTTATTTGGAGATAAAAATTGTGACCCATTGGAATCTACCGTGTCAAAGCATGAAAAAATGCCTAAAATTAATGGGTGCAGCGTGAAGCCACAAGGCTTGCCAGCGTTTACTAAACCATCCATCCCAACTTTACGATCAAGGAAAGACAAAATATCTCCAGAAATCCCAAAGAGGAAGAGGAGAGCATCTAAGCAAGATATTAGTGAACCTAAAGAAGAGTAAGTATTTGTCATTTATTCAGTGTTTATTCGTGTCATGGGCTGGAATGGGCGAGGTTTAGACGGACTCTCACACAAGGCTCTGGCTAAACACACGGCGTGTGTTGCATTAGCATATGTATAGGGGGGGGCTCGGTCCCTCTCTCACTTGAGATCCATGTTAGCAGGGGTCACCTCAAGTTCTTTCATCTGCATCAAATTCAGCTAAAGTATTATATGTCGCATACATAAGTCCAACTGTTATACATTTATAACAGTAACGTGATTTTTTATTTGACATTCTTGATGGAAGACATCTAAGGTTTTCGGTCCGTGCTGGAACATGATTGGATCACTTACCATTTGTCAGTAGCCTATCATCTGATTTTGCTGATTAGGCAATTGTCTTTGTCTCAACATTCATGAAACAAACAATTAAGACAAATTGCACCTGTAGCTGTGATTGGTGTTAATTGCCATGTGGACCATTGGGCAGCTAGCAATACACACGAGATGACATAGCATTGTTCCCGTAGAAATCATTGCAGATCTCCACACATGCAGTTGGAGTTTTTAGTACTCTACTTGGCTAAGACTTATTTATTTTTAAGCTGTTCACCAATCATAAGATTAGATACATGTAAATCAAATTTGACTTATGTAAGCCTTTCCTGTGAAATGTTTGGCACCCACAGCACTGTTGGTAGCAATATTGTGATTATATACTCAGGAGACGTCAACATGACTTTGGTTAATGTTGGTAACGTTTTGTAGACTATAAAATAAACCATGTAGAAGGTTGGTTTCTTTATATTGCACTGAGCATAATGGATAGAAGTAAACCAAATTTTCAAATAATGTTGGTGTGAACTATGCCAATGTTTTCGTTTGATAATCTATTGTGTAGTTCATTCATGAGATTAGGCTTCATTTACCTCAAAGGAAGAAATTAGTAAAACATTAAGTTACTAATAATCCTTTGAAACTATTTCATCTTGCATAATAACTAACACCAAGATTCTTTCCTAAAGAAAATTTCTCTTTCAAGGAGCCTAAAATGACAGTCAGACCACTTTTAACTCTTCCTTTATGACATTTAAATAGTTATGTACAGATGGAGGCTGGTCTTTTGAAGCATTAATATCTGATATTTACAAAAGCAGAGCTAATATTCTGTACATAGTTAATGCATATTTAAGCTGGTATGGAATTGCCAGGTGCACATTAATACTATAATTACTGTTAAGCCATAAAATACAAGAGACTGTTGAAGGTTATTAAGAGTTATTCATATTGCTCTGTTAAACCCATTCTTGGATAGACAATATATTTGGATGTTAGTTGTCATATATCACATATTGATAGCTGTTAGATTTGTGAAATGATACTTTATCACCTTTCCATTGTTGTACTGTCATGTGTGTTAACTTGAGAAGAGGGAAATATGTTAGCACAGTGTCAGGACTGCTAGAATGTCTGATATTCTAAGGTATCCAGAGAAGTAACACTCGCTGATGTTAAAAGAAAATTGGTATTGTTGTTTTTATTGAAACTGTTCAGTTACTTCCACTACCAGTGTGAGAAGAAATACGTAGTGCAAATTCTCAGATTGGGCTAAAAGTGATTATGGCATTAATCTTTTACTTCACCAATTGATTTCTTATCGTGAATCTAATTGAATCCCTGTTGCAGTGTAGCTGTTATCCATTTTATTGTGCTTGAAAAATTCTGTGTAACAACCAATCTCTGTGACTGCTCTTGCTTTCTCAAATAAGGTAAATGCAGTTTTTGTTAAATATTTATGCTATTTCTGTGTTAAGAATTTCACTCACATAATTCAGAAATGTGTCAATTTGATATTGCCTATGTCACATTAATCAAGTTTGTAATGTTCTGAAATCAGTCATTTTGGTAATTGTGATTATTCATACAGAAGAGGTCTTTGATGAATTTTCCTATATAATTTTATCTGGGAATCCATTAATATTTTATATTTAGAATTAACTTTAGGACAAATAAACCATGACTTTCATGGCAAATACTGAACACATTTGGTTTTGTTTCCTTCATATTACTTTCCGTTTTTATCAGATTGCAATAAATTAAATTTTTAAAACATGTAGATTATTTATTAAAATACTTTGATTCTTTTAAAAGGTTTATGAATAAACTATGAAAATAGTTATTTTTGAAATTATGAAAAACTCCACGATTTTCCAGGATAATTTGCAAACAGGGACTTCAGAGTTCACAAATATACATGTAATGGATTTTCTTCTGGAGTAATTTCTTTCATTTTGTTTTCTTGCATTGCTCCTTTACTTAATGTATTAAATCTGTTCCTGTTATAGTAATTTAACGTTAAACAAGAACAAGCAGATCAGTTGAACAATTCATCAACGTTATAGAAAGGAGGAGAATGTTTTCAGACATATTGCATCATTATGATGATTACTTTTATTCCCAAGATAACAATATCCTCGCATAAATATGAAAGACTTAGTGTAGTGGATTGTCTAGAGCTTCACATTGATCTGCTTGAGTCCATAAAAAACTGCATAAGTAGGGCATGAGACTGTGTATTACATGTCATTAAAAAATATCCTTATAGCAGCCAAGATGAGAAAGGAAAATATTAGTGTGATCTTTTTGTTACAATGAACAATGTCTGTAATCTTGAATATTTCATTCACTTTATCTATTTTTTCTGATATGAAATCAGGTGTAAACTGATATTAATTATATAATTAAATATATTTTAACTGTTTTTGTGGGAATTCTTTAACTTTATCCAGTAACTGAAATATTGAAAATTCATGAAAAACAGGAGTTTCAAAGAAATTGGTGTAATTTCTCTTAATTTAATACCTTTTTAATCATTGTAATTAAGTAATTCAGACTTCTGCACATATATTTTGTTGCAACAGAAATACTACTACAATAGTTTGCGTCATACCCAACTCCCAGTAAACATCCCCTCTCTTAAAATTATTAAAAGGAAACATGCACAAGTGTTTGCTGCCATTTCCACCCTACTCTTTCATTATTCTGAAATTGCAATAAAATCTTCTCAGGGAAGTTAAATATTCCAACCTTTGTTAATGATGAAAAAAAGTAAATCAACAAGAAATAAATAAAAAGTGTGCTATAAGTGCCATGGAATGATTGGAAGGAGTGAACAGATGTGGGATGACAGATGATTGGGGGTGGGGGGTGGGAAGGGTCAGTGTATTCATGATTGGGACACTACCTTGTGCTGGCCGAGTCGCACTGCCAGTGGGAAGAAAGGATTCTCCTCTCTATTGAGCTGTGGAGATTCTGAGCAATCACACCCAGCCTCCATTAATCATCCTGTCTGCACGGACTCCCAACAACAATACTGATGGGCTGGGGCATCAGCTTATTATTCAAAATCTGCTGCACTGAAACTACAAGAGGCTCTGGCTTTCAAACTTTGCACACTTTGTGTCTATGCAACTCCCTACACAGCGGCATCGTCAAATGTGGCTATGTGGATATGATGGCCGCCATATTGGATGCTACTTCTGGCAAAACTTGTCTTCAAAACTTCTACAGGCTTCTTTGGCGACTTTGTGGCAAACCAAACTTACCAGATACAACATTTTGAGCGCTTGTTCTGCAATTACCTTTGGTTGCTGAACAATTTCTATTCTTGGTCATATGTCAAAAAGTCACGTGATAAAGGCGTCCATATTGGATTGAAGATGTTTAAAGGAAATTCGCAGTTTTGTGGGGTAGGCATTTTTCGCAATCCATAACTTTAAATGTATTAGCTGCAGAACGCTGCAAATTTGTAGATATAGATTATTATATACCTCACATATGTATAATCTCGAGCTATGTTGCGATATCTTCATTAGTTACGGATACCTAGATGTTTGCTTTGTTGTTGTTTATTTTGTACTAAAATGTATCTTCAAAAATCGCTTAAAGCGTCAGTACTATTTTCAACTATGCAGCTAGGATCTGGCAATGCGTGAAGTAACTCAGTGTGTTGAACATTTTTGTTCTTGGGTGCATGTCAAAATGTGAATTGTTTGGCGGCCATATTGGATTTTCGGGCAGATTCTAATGATACTACTTTATAAACAGCATAGCTGCTCAGAATCTGTACAGAAAGTGCTGAAGCTTGGCATTATGCATCAACATGGAATGTTTAACATTTCGTGTTCTTACATGCATATCAAAAAGTTTGATCGTTTAGGCGGACACATGGGATTAAAATTGCAGAAATGCATTATGCACCCCAAAGCGGCATAAAACAGCATATAGCTCCACTACTATAGATCCAATCGCTTCCATATTTGGTATGTGACTTGGTCATGAGATGCCGATCATTTTGGGCGGGGTCGAAAATTCGATATCTTTAACCGTTTGGCCGCCATCTTGGATTGAAGTTTTTCATTTTATCACGGTTTTACAAAACAAAAGTTGAAACTCAAATGACTTGATTTTTACAGCATTATTAGACACAGTTAAGGGAATGCTGTGTGCAAAATCTCAACTCTGTACGTCAATGGTTACGGAGAAAATGCCTATACAGTATTTTGGCCCGGACATACATGCGCGGACTGGACTGGCGGACATATATCTCACCAAATCTGACCTGCCTATATGATACATCGGGTCTGGGCAAAGCAGAAACACTAATTCCTTTCAGCCTAGATGCAATAACAACGGCGTCTTAGCTCGCTAAAAACGTGTTTTTGTCTTGTGACGGACCTGTCAAATGACCTTGACCCCCGTGACCTTGGTGACCTTGACCATTAGAAAGCATTTTTGATATACTTTCAAGTTCGGGGTCAAAACCCCAAAAACTCAAAATAACGATTTGTAATTAGGGCTCCCTCGCTGCAAAGCAGGAGACCTATGTAATTACTGATGTTTTATTATTATTATTATTATTTATTATTCCGCCCGGATTTTGTACCACTCCTACAAAGAGCACCAGTTGACAGAATCGATTGAAAAAAAATCACCATGGTGCCCACAGTGCTGAA